TCTTGATTTTGAAGCTCTTTCTTATGTTCGCTAGGCTTTTAATATTCTGAATACCTTCTATTGCTGCTTTACTGTCTGTGTACACTTTGACTTTAAGCAAATTAAATTCAATAAATCTATATTACAAATTGATTATAGGAAAATCCTTGCTATTATTAATATTTCTAACAATCTTAGCCTATTTTTAATCACTTTCTTCTATCAACTACAAATTAATATTTCTTCTTGAGAAATACACTTAATACATCATATTACAGTATTGATTTCTCTTTCTATCAATACCAACTTATCCAAATATACAATAATATACTAAATCCAAATCTAACTAATCTTCAATTTGCTATAGATGCCTCTATTCAAAATCTTCAATCTCCAAATATACAATCTGGTATAGGCTAGATTTGTGAAAATAATCTATCAATTAAATTTAATGCTGCAATCAATCCTTCTTCTGACTCTTCTCGATTACTGATGTTTGCAATTATTTCTCTTCTATTTGTTATTCCAATTAATTCTACTGTTACCATATATACTCATAGCCTAATTTTAGTCAAAAACTTACTTAATCCTCCCTCCTCTAAACTTATTCAACTCAAAAACTATGATATAATCTCTATTATCAACTTTATTAAATCTACTAAAAATATTTTTATCAATCTTGTTAAAGTTAAATTACACTCAACCAACTCTCTCCACAATCAAGCTGATCTGCTAGCTAAACAAGGCTCTAGCAAACCTCTTTTAACAATCTCTTACACATACTTTAATCTCCCTACTCACTTCTTTTAGAACAATTATATCATCATACTCAAAGTATATTTCTTTATTAAAAACATTATTACAATTCAGAAACTTATATCCTGGTTATCTCTCAAACTCTTAAACAACTACATATCAGATATAAACTAGAATTTAATATTCAAAAAACTAAACTCCTTAGAAAATAACTCTTACAAATACTCCTTCTTTATAAAAATCCTTACAAACAACCTTCCAACAATGCAAAAACTTAATATTTGCTATCCAAATCTATATACAGCAAATAAATATTGTAAATATCTCTTAACCAAAGACTCTTTTTATATACTCCTGTATTCTAAAAAAATACTAAAAATATTTAACAATCACTTATTAATATAACTACTAATATGCTTCAACAACTCCAACTTATCTCTATTTAACCTACTTCACTTCTCAATATGCCATTACTATCAATAACCAACTCCTCTAATATACAATACAACTCTCTTATTCCTACTATCCTTGGTATATATCCAAGATTAACATATCAAAATATCAAAATTCTAACAAAAAAAAACAAATAGAGCACATGTTTATCAAACTTTCTAATAATCTTTTACACTAGTTTTTTTATAAAATATAGTTCAAATGTAATTTCTTTCAGCATCAATAGAAAATAGCCTGAAATATTATACCTAAAACTAAATATAGCAAATTTTTAACTCCTTTATTTACTAACTAAACAAATATATATAGATCTTATTTACAATTAATAGAACCACACACAATGCTATTAAAAAATAGTATCTATATAGTTTTTTTCTAAAAACATGCTTTTTATAATGTTATAATTAACACTTTAAGATTTTTTCTAACATTTCCTAACTAAAATTACTTTATTTATTTAAATTAATAATAGTATTAAATAGGAAATAGAAGATGTAATATCACATTGGGTGCTCTGTAGCACAAGTGTAGTTAGAAATCTTTATATAAAAATTTTTCTAAATCTATACCTTTAGGTTATTAGCTAGTTCTGAGTTGAAGGAATTTGGCAACCTGGTTAAATGACTTATCTGTTCTTTTACCTAAGTCTTTCTGATAACAAGAAGACTATTTATTAATCTTTGGATTAATTTACGTTTATTGTAATAAAGTTTCTACTATAACATTATATTTAATAAAAAAAAAAAAAAAAAGTTTTTTTTTTAAGTAATCAATAAATAACTAGGTTATTGAATTATTGAGTCATCTCAAGTTATTTAGGATTACTGAATTGCCACCAATATATTCTTGTTTAGCTATCTTTAAACTATTGATTTACTATATATAAACATAAGTTATTAAATAATATGAAAAACAACCTTATTGTATATAGTATAGTCTTAATTACTATATGCAGAATTACATGATTCATATTAGTTATATAAATTCAGTTTTATATTTATATGCTTAAAATCTTGTTCTTTAAAATGATTGTATTACTAAATAAAATTTACTTTGAATATTCTTTGCAGAAACCTTTAATTTTGCTAAATATGTTTATAATATTGCTACAAAATTGTTATAATATAATTACAATAAGGCGCATAAAAGGCCAAGAAACTGCAATGATTGAAACCTGTTTGGGAAGTCCCAAGTGAGGAGATAATAGAAACTTTTGATGATGCTACAAGAAGACTGAACTTGGAACCAGAGAATGAGACTGAAAAACCAAGTGACCAGGTTCTTAAGTGGGGAGATACACTAGCCAAACCACTGGGTTGCCAAAACTGAAGAAAAAGAACATGTGCTCTAGAAGTGTGTACCAAGAGAAAGATACCTATAGAGCACCTAATGCTTGGGAAGACCAACCTTTCTGGGTTGCCAGCTAGAAGTAAGGAAGAGACCAGTTAAGAATCTGAAGAAAAGGAAAGTCTGAATGGAGATGCTGAGTTGAAATAAACCTCATAAAGACACAGCAGTTAAATGGGAGTAACCCCAACTATGAGTAGGAGCCTCAGCAACTGGGTATCAGGTTAGCCAAAATGAGATATAGAAGGCTTTAGTGGGTTTATCTTATGCATAGACCAAGTTGGTAAGTTCTAAAGCATAAACAAAATTTGGGTAACCGAGTTAGAAGATCTTACCAAGTGGAATTAGATTATAATCAGAGGGTTTAAATAGATAAACCCCTAGTTGGGTTGCAGATATAGTGGCTAGTGTAGAACCTAAGGCGGAATACTTAAATAGGCAACCAAAAGTTGCATGTGTGGCTAGTTGTACTCTCATTTGTAAAAACTAGAGAATTTAAATAGATAATTTCCTAGTTAGATTACAGGTATAACAGCTAGTGTAGAACTAAAATAGGCTGACTACTTAAATAGATAACTAAAAGTTGTACATGTGGCTAATTGTACTATCGTTGTAACTAAAACTTAACTTCTAATAAAAAGTTATAGCCAAAGAGATCATCTTTAATATCAAAAAAATATATATATATATAATTACAATATTACTAATATTATGATATGATAAATATATATTAAAATATATTAAAAATATTATTATTATATTTTAAAAATATTTTTTTTATTCTACTAAATTAATTTTAATTTGATATATGTTATATATTTATAATGGGAAAATTAAATTAGCAACCCATTGCTATGCGACCCTTTTAAATTAACCAATCATTTTTAGGCATTATAATGTGTATATTTCAATACCACAGATTTTGTATGGGTTGGGTCTATTCTTTTTTCGATTTGTATACCCAGGTAGACCTGGGTATAGCACATGTTTACAGTACTTTATTATCTGTTGTTTGTTGCTTGGCGTGCATCATGCATGCATATGTACGTATGTATGTATATATTATATATATGTTAATGAATTTTTAATCGCGTTTTAAAAATATTTTTACCTGTTACAGAAGTAATGAAACGAAGTAGAAAGTAGTAAAAAACAAAACCAAATCATAATACTGTCTAGATTTTTTTCTAGAAAAAAAAGAAGCAAAAAAAAAAAGAAAACAAAAAAAATCCCAAATAACTAACAAAGTAAGAAGCAAAGAAAAAAAAACCTGTAGCGAAACAAGAATAAAAAAATAAATCATTTTTTTTTATTTAAAAGCAATACATTTTAGCGATAATATAATTCAAATCGTCAAGACATGGAACCTAAGATTTTAGACAATCAAAACATAGAACCTAAAGTATTAAACAATCATGATGCAGAACTCGAAATATTAGCAGCATATGATAGTACAGATGACTTTTTTGATATTGATATTGATAAGTAAGTAATGTCTTATATTTTATTTTACTGTTGATCTTTTTTTTCATATTGCTATTTTTGTTTTAGTTTTGATGATATTGAAGAATTTTCAGTTGGCAAAACTTTTAAAGACTGGGATCAGGTAGCAGACTTTATAAAGAAATATGCTAGTGTTAAAGGTCATGGAATACGAATTGGCGGTGGTGGAAGAGTAAATACAAAAACTAAAAAAATAATAAAACGATCGTATTTGTGTCACCATGCTGGAAAGCCAGCAAAATCAAGCGAAGTGTCTTGTCGAGTAGAATGCCCATGGAAAGTTAATTTTTGGTTCAAAAATGAGAAAAATTGTATTGAAGTCACGACTTTTAATAATGAGCATGTGGGTCATGAGCTTAATCCACTAGCAAGCTATTTCGATCCAACATTACGCAAGTTACCTAAAGAAATTGTAGAAGAAATTCGTTTTTTAACAACCATTGCAAAGGCGGATGCAACTATGCAGTATAGAATAATTAGAGAAAAGTATAATGTTAGAATATACCGACCAGATCTGTACAAAACAATTCAAATGTTTCGGCGTGATTCTGAACCAGGTGAAGATGACGCAGGAATGTTGTTAATAAGACTTAATGAAAAAAAAATTGAAGATCCCCGATGGGTTGTTTTAATAGAATTTGACCCGGTTACTTCTTCCTTAACTCACCTCTTTTGGATGAGCCTGGAGCAGCAAATTTTGTGGTTACGCTACCATGATATAATAATGCATGATAATACATGTAAAACTAACCGCTATAATCGCCCTTTATCTATTTTTGTTACACCCGATAATAATTTGAAAACACGGATTGTGGCTCAAGCCATTGTTGATGATGAAACACAATTATCCTATGAATAGGTTTTTAAATGTGTTGTAAAGGCAACTGGATTAGCACCAAAGGTCTTAGTAACAGATGGTGATTTGGCAGTCAATGGTGCTGTCGCAACACAATTTCCCAATACGTTTCACATGCATTGCATTTGGCACATAAGCCAAAATTTACCAAAAAATTTAAAAGGACTACTTAGTTCTCATTATGATAATTTTATTAAAGATTTTTATATTATGAGAAATAGTTTAGCAGAGGAAAAATTTAATGAGAGGTAGGAGTAATAGTATTATTACCTCGTAAGATTTGTATTACAAGTATCCTAATTATTTTTACTTATTTAAAGATGGGAGAAACTACTGCAAGATTATCCACAAGCTAGGAATTATTTAATGAGGTCTTTGGGCTGTTGTATTAAATCATGGGCACGTACATTTACCAGTAGATATTTCACAGCTGGTGTACAATCAACTTCCCGTAACGAGGGTGAGAACTCAGCATTAAAACGTCTTTTTGGGAGTTCAAGTCTTTCATTATGCGAGCTATTTGAGGCCTTAGAAGAAAGATACCAAGAAGAAATCGATTACTGCAAGTTTGTAAGCTGGAAACAAACTATTCCACAAATAGGACCAAAAAATATGGCAAAAACTATTTTTGAACCCGTAGTACAACAACTAAACGAGTTTGTAATGCCAAACATAATGAAAAAACAGGAGGAGCAAATGAATTTGAGCTTTTATTATCATGCTATTGAGGTTGATCTTGAAGTTATATTCTCTAGAGAGAGGGTAAGATTTTTATAGTTGGTATTATAATTGTGGCAAAACTACTTAGAGGGGGGTCATTTAAAGCCAGGTCCATTACGAGATCTTCTATTATGCACATGACCTATTTTGGTACAATAAGAAAAAATAGTAGGGAGATGATTTTATATATAGAAATCTCCCGATTTTGGCCAATATAAGGCCCTAAACTAACTCTAACCTTAATGTTAATTTAAATTCGTGATGGACCTGGCTTTAAGCATTCTCTTAGAGGTGTGAGCGCAATGCCGTAATTATAATGAATTATGGCATTGTGCTCACACCTCTAAAACCACTATTGCCCGTGTCATAACAATTATAGACATGAGTTTTAATTATTATCAATAGTATTAAAATATTTTTTTACAGCATTACTAATCATTATTCTTTTAATTGGTAATTATTTTAGGAAGTTGATGAATCTGAACAATGTATTGATAACTTGTTTGACTGCCCACAAATGCAACTGAAATCATTTCTAAACGATTTTTCAATAATTGTTGAATCTTGGGAAGTTATGCACTTAATAAGTTCTGGCACTTCTCATTTTGTACATCTTTTGAACGATGGCACTTTTCTTTGCACTTGTATGCTTGGAAAGTCTCATGGATACCCCTGCCGTCACTTTTATCGTATTATGACTTTAACTCCTAATGCAAGATTTCATATTGGTTTAGTCAATAGGCGCTGGTATAAAGATGCTTTACAAGGGACCGACATAACAAATAATGGATTCATAGTCATTTCCTCGAATTTATCTATGTCAACATCAAAGGCACATAATTTGCCAACACAATTTTTGCATAGCGAATTCAACACTAATATAGCTGAAGAATTTGCAAATAATAACCAATCTCCTGATGAAATATCTAAGGCTATTTCGAAAAAGCGCAAGTTTGGTGAACTTTGGGGATTAGGAAGAAAAATAATGATTAATGCAATTGAGAATAGCAGTGAAGAACTTTATCATGAACTTCTTGGATTTTTTACCTCAATCCAAAACAGAACATTGCCGCGGAGAGTTATTAGCAAAGTTAATGATGGTGATGATTTTAGCCATAATATTAACAATAATGGTTGTATGATAGATATTCGAAATCCTGTTAAAAGAAAATCAAAAGGTCGTCCAAAATCAACAAGAATTGCAAATGCCTTTGAGAAGTCCGATACAAAAATGAGTTACAAGTGCAAGTTATGCAAAAAAAAGGGGCATAATAGCAAAACTTGCAAAGAAAAATCAAACATTTATGCAAATAATACAAATGGTGAAATTGAAAGGTAAGTGTAGCGTATGCGATCTAAGGTGCCCAAACCTTTAAACAACTTTTTCAAGAAACTTGCATGTGCAATAATTTATTAGCTTAATTTTGACGATTATAACCTACCAATTTGTTACACAAAGTTCTAAAATATATTTAACGCTAAAAAAATTTGATTAGCATATGAAATATAGACGTATTTGTGTTTGATATTTATTTATTACTAAAGCGGTTGTTAATTTAGGTTCTGAAGATAACGAAGAATCGTCGACCACGTCTACAAGTCACGAAAGTGTTCGAGAGATGTCTGATACAGAAGAATTCGGTATTATTTTATTCGTTTTGTAGTCAAATAATGAATTTTCGCAGAAGATCGTATCTGTTATATTATTTCTTACAAACTTCACTTTTTAGTAGAACCAAGTAATCCTGTGGTGTTAATTTCGGCACCTACGCAACCAATTGACTTTCAAAATCGTGAACATACACAAAGACAATGTAGTATTTGTCATAGAAAGGGGCATAATTCCCGAACTTGTCAAAATAAGATTTAGATTAATAAAAAAACTTCGACAGTGGGGCCAGTGAAAATCGTCACATTTCTTTTGTTTTTTTTTATTTTTTTTTTAAATAATTTTGACAGTTGGTTTGAATTTGGCGAATGCAATAATTTGAAATTAAGGAAAGTAATAACAATTTATGTATTCACTTATCGGTTTCTCAAAAATATATGTACGTTTTTAGCTTTTCATTGCTTTATTATGGCAGCGACAAACAACATTATGATAACATTGGCTGGATTTTTAGGTATGGCAATATTGCGCAAGTTCTAATTCGTTACACTATATTTGGACTATAAGACATGCAAAAAAAAAAAAACAAAAAAAAACTGCATGTAAATCTAGGAATATTGCAGCTTATAGCCCAAATTTTCCACCAATGAAATCGCGAAAAAAACGATTAAAAAAGAGTTACCAGCTATAGTAAATGTTATTTGTTTATTTGAAGGCTGCCGTTCATTAATACCGTCCTAATCATTTCTTTAATTCTAGATGTCATAATAATTTATCTTTGTAATTGCAAAATATTTTTCATGGTAGTTTTAAATAAATAAAGGCTTTATTTAGAAGTGTATACAACTTTATCAATGTAATCTTCGATAATGGCGCGTGCGAATAGTCGAAAATTCTGGTTTATACTTTTCTAATTAGCTTTTTCGTACTACATAGTTGGTTAGACAAAACCCCAAGTTTTTATCATTGATGAAGACGATACTGATTGTTAATCCATTGCATAGCAAATTTATCTTCGACGAATGATTAAACCTAATGAAGAATAAAACAAACCGTTAAAAAAAGGTTTTTTGGTTTCGTTTTGTCATGCGATAAGGGTTTCCTCTAACTATTCTCGGTTAGTATTTCCATTACGAATTTGTACCATTACTTATTTACTATTTTTATTTGTTCGTGTCGATGTAACTGATGTATTCAAATCATTTAATTCTATTTTAATCACTTTTAGTGAATGTATATAAGGAATATTTATTAATTGATGTATTTTGAAGCATTCTAATCAAGCCCATGGTTATTTATTGTCACGGTCAGCATCGGTTCTACTGCGAAATTGATCCGGGACTTATGCAACAGGACCTACGGTATTGTCAAGCGGC